CTGGGGTTGTTCAGCCTGGAGAAGAGGAGGCTCCGGGGAGACCTAATAGCAGCCTTCCAGTACCTGAAGGGAGCCTACAGGAAGGCTGGGGAGAGCCTGTTTAGAAAGGCCTGCAGTGACAGGACGAGGGGCAATGGCTTCAAGCTGGAGGGGAACAGATTTAGACTGGAGATGAGGAGAGGGTTCTTCACTGTGAGGGTGGTGGAGCACTGGAACAGGTTGCCCAGGGAGGTGGTTGAGGCCCCATCCCTGGAGATATTCAAGGAGAGGCTCGACGAGGCCCTGGGCAACCTGGTCTAGTTGGGGGTGTCCCTGCTGACTGCGGGGGGGTCGGACTAGATGGCCTTTGGAGGTCCCTTCCGGCCTGGACCATTCTATGACTCTATGATTCTATGATAATTCCCAGCTCCATATGAGGTCCCACACATACTTCCCCTCTCCTCCTTTTACCCAGACCTCCTATCACCCATCCCCTATCACATTCCCCGAGCTGAAACCTCACCCAAATAGTCTCTGTTCACTGACCCTCCAACCGGCATGCCCTACAGCCCAAGTTCAACACCAGGCTGTCTCCAGCCACAGGCTGGGCCTCATAGGGATTTGGATTCCTCCAACCACCAGTGAAAAGTGTCACTGGGTGCAACACCCTCACCTCTACCTTTACAGCAGCCAGCTGGAGAAGGACATGGGAGCCCTGGTCCGGTCCCTGCTCTAGAAGCAAGTGCCACTGGCTCACTGTGTGACCGGGGAAGGTGACTATGCCTTACTCTGCCTCAGTTTCCCCATCTCTGAAATCAGGAGGGTAACACGCATCTCCAATTAGAACCATTAACTGCTTTGTTCTCATTTTGTAAGTTTCGTAAAAGATAAGCCAGTTTTGCAAGGCCTTAAACTGTACAAATGTCACCAGCTTCTTCTGCCTGAAGCAGCCATACAGACAGATGGTACTAAATTAAGACAGCGAGAAGCACGTGGAGATGATAGCCTGGATTTAATAAAAATGTCATCTGGCACAGCTGGGTCTGGAAGAATCACAGAATGGTCAGAGTTGGAAGGGACCTTAAAGACCATCCAGTTCCAACCCCCCTGCCCTGGGCAGGGACACCTCCCACCAGACCAGGTTGCTCCAAGCCCCATCCAGGTTGCTCAAAGCCCCATGGAAGAAGATGTAGAAAAAAGCCATAAACGCCTAGACTGCAATTTGCACTTGGTTTTCCTAAATCCTTTTCTTTATTTTTATTTTTTTAAACTAACTGTCCTGCAATTGAGTTCAGCAGGTAAGGCCACAATCCCAGTTTGAACATGATAAACTGCTTCTCAGGGTTTTAAGTGCCATCTGCCAAAACACGGGGGAAGAGTCTCAGAGAGGAGCTGGTCCAGGTAACCTGTTAACACACCATAAACCACCTGTGCACTGCCCTGGCTGCCCAATAGTTATGCTCTTTTACCAGCATCAGTGGCATTGACTGGCACAGCACGTCTTTCAGCTGAGAGGGGACAACAGGGACACAGTAAAAGGTACAGTTAAAAAGTTGACCGTCTCCAGCTTCATTCAAAATCAACAGAACTACAGAAAAATAAGACTCCTGCTTAACGCCAGGAATAAGTCTGTTCTGTAGAAAAAAAAAAAAAAAAAAAAGGAATGACAATATTTCTTTAAACGTGTACTTCCGGCTACTTCCTTAAATTCTAATTAAAATACCAGTGGCCACACCACTACCCTACCACGTGACGCAAGCATTTTGAATCTAGGTCAGAATGTAATTAAAACAGACTAAGGATCTAATTGCCAAAAAGAGAAAAAAGGTCTTCCCATGGCTCAGTGATCTCACGACGTTTCAGCAGGAGATGCATTATTATACACCCCAGCTCAGCTTCCCTGAGTTTGCCTCCCCAAAGCTACACAGAATTTGATCCTAAATACATACAGCAAACCAGGATTCTATTCTCCTTTTTTTTTTCTGATAAACAGCTACTAAAATAGGAAAAGGAAAACCAGTTAAATGCACATCTGGGGCTCTCTCTTCCTCTCCTCCTACTCACAGCATGCCTTAATCATGAGGAACATAAAATGGTAAGCAGTTTACCAGGGCGAGCAGGCAGCGAGGTGGATGGAACACTTGGCAGTCTGATGTCTCTCATTCCCTTGTTCAATTCTTCTTGCTCCAGTTCTTCTAATTCTGCCATCAGCTCATCCTAAATTCAAGCAAAACATCGTTTACAAATTCATTGCCCTGACAGGGATCTCAGGCAAGGGCACATTTAACGACCACGAAGCAAAGCGCTACTGAAAAAAACAGTTTAGACCTGGAAACAAACTTTATATATATATATGTAAAAAAAAAAAGCGTATCACTACTATAATTTTTACTAAGTGTGGGCAATAACCCTTAATTAAAAGTTGAAAGGACCTTGGAAGTTAGAAACAGGACAAGGTATAAAATTAGAAACAAAACAGCGTTGTACTCCTCATAAAGACAAACAGAAAAATGGGCAAAAAACCAGAAAGATCCCTGTGCCTTCCTCGAGTTTATTCCAAGCCTAGAGCCTGTACTCTCTAACGGATCCTAATTTTAATGTGCAATTTCTCCCGTTTTAAAGAGCAAACAGCTCCACTGGTTATAAGGCAGCCTGTCATTAAAAATCATGTTTCAGCCCTATCGCACAAGTCCCGGATTATATATGATTTCCAAGCAGCACTGGAATCAGAGCTGTCCTCCTGGGTCCTGCTTCTCACTCCTGCAGCACGTAACACCCTGGGGCTTTTGGCTGCAGAAACCCATTTGGACCGATGATCTAAACCACTTGTTTCATACTAAAAATAACAAGACCACACCACTTTTTAAAAAAGCCAAAGACTTACTCCTTGGCTGAAGTTTCCCAAAGGAAGGAAGCAAAATATTACCTATTTGTAGAGAAATGGACCTTTGCCACCTTGATAAGACGGTTTAAAAAGAAACAACAGGCGGAAGTGGGTGGGGAAAACGTGGCTGTAACGAAGTGAGATCTACCAGGTGTTGAAATGGGCTTTGCCCACCCGTTTAGACCCTGCTTATCACCAATGTGGAAATTAAAATTATAATGACATAGCCACTACAGGCCTTCCTAGATTGCGTTTCTCATCTTTTTGTATTTTTAAGGCCAAAAAAGGCTATATATTTGCATATCTGATGGTGCAAATACTAGGATATCATCTAAAAATTTCAGCATCGGGTCTATACCTGGTGATGTTCAATTGACAGCTGATGAGCTGCTCAAAGAAAAGTGCAAGAAATTAGGGCCCCAGTTTAACTTCGGCATTTAGCAAAGGCACAAGCGCATCGACTTCAAGTGCCTCAGGCAGAAGACAAGCTTCTCACAACGTTAGTACCCAAGTTGTTATGAATGAAGTCAATGGAAAACAGGTATTTCTGAAGATCTCTAGGTGGTCACGGAATCAGGGAATTAGAGTTGGAAGGGACCTCTAGAGACCATCCAGTCCAACTCCCCGGCCAAAGCAGGGTTGCCCAGAGCACATCACTCAGGAGCATGAAGGGCTTGAAGATCTCCAGAGAAGGGGACTCCACACCCTCCCTGGGCAGCCTCTGCCAGGGCTCTGCCACCCTCACCCCAAACAAGTTCTTCCTCACATTGGAGTGGAACTTCCCATGGTCCAGCTTGTGCCCGTTGCCCCTCGTCCTGTCCCTGGGAACCACTGAGAAGAGTCCAGCTCCATCCTCCTTCAACCCATCCTTTAGACCCTCGTCAGCATTCAGAAGGTCTCCCCTCAGCCTTCTCTTCTCCAGGCTCAAGAGCCCCAGCTCTCTCAGCCTTTCCTCATCAGGGAGATGCTCCAACCCCTCCATCATCTCTGTTGCCCTACGCTGGACTCTCTCCAGCAGTTCCCTGTCCCTCTGGAACTGGGGAGCCCAGCACTGGAGGCAGGATTCCAGTTGTGGCCTCCCCAGTGCAGAGCAGAGGGGGAGAATGACCTCCCTCCACCTCCTGGCCACACTCTTCCCTCCGCAGCCCAGGATCCCAATGGCTCTCTTGGTCATCTAACACTCTTCCACTCCAAATTAGTCCTTACCAACCTCTGCTGAACAAGTAAACAATTAAGAGGTTTGCCAGGCACAACAGGCTCAGGAAAAAAACAAAAGGCGGGGGTGGGGGGGGGGAAAGCTGAAGGAAACAGTAATCACAACCCCTACACTTTTAACATAATAGTGTGATGGCTACAACATTTGCTCTCGACGTGGGAGACCCAAGATTTAAGTTCTTCTAATCCTCAGGCAGAGATTTAGCTTATGTTTCCCACACATCCAGGCATTGCTCTATGACGAGGCTGTGGAGTATTGCAACAGCAACAACAAATCCCCTTTCTCTTAGTGAACCTTGGCCAAAAAGAGAGCAGGGAGAAGATACCATGTCAACCCGCAGGTCCTCTGGAATGTGCATATTTTGCATCTGATTATCAGAAAAAGGCCCCTAGGCAAGGGTTACCCCTTCCAGTGAGCATCCTACTCAGGTAGGACACAGGTTTTTTGCATTCTTCATGACATTCAAGAAGGCCGATGGCATCCTGGGGGGCATCAGGAAGAGTGTGGCCAGAAGGTGGAGGGAGGTCATCCTGCCCCTCTGCTCTGCCCTGGGGAGGCTCCATCTGGAGCACTGGGACCAGTTCTGGGCTCCCCAGTTCCAGAAGGACAGGGAACTGCTGGAGAGGGGACAGCAGAGGGCTACAGAGATGATGAGGGGCCTGGAGCATCTCCCTTATGAGGAGAGGCTGAGGGACTTGGGTCTGTTTAGTCTGGAGAAGAGAAGGCGGAGGGGGGATCTGATCAATGCTTATAAATACTTGAAGGGAGGGTGTCAGGAGGATGGGGCCAGGCTTTTTTCAGTGGTGCCCAGGGACAGGACAAGAGGAAATGGGCACAAACTTGAATATAAGAAGTTCCACCTAAACATGAGGAGGAACTTCTTTCCTGTGAGAGCGGTAGAGCCCTGGAAGAGGCTGCCCAGGGAGGTGGTGGAGTCTCCTTCTCTGGAGACGTTCAAACCCCACCTGGACATGTTCCTGTGGGACCTGCTCTGGGTGGACCTGCTCTGGCAGGGGGCTGGACTAGATGATCTCCAGAGGTCTCTTCCAACCCCATATGATTCTATGATTCACTGTGTCAATCTAGGGAGAAAGAGCCCTTAGGTTTTTGTGTCTCTCTGGAGCAGTAGAAATTACATGCTTCCATGATCTCCTTACACCCATGACACACGTGAGAAGAGGAAATACAAGTTTACGGTCAAAATGTCCTACAAAAAAATAAAATTAAATATCATGCTCTAACACAAATCACCTCATAACCCAGTGGCTAAGTAATTTATTCCAGTGCTTTTAAGCTGAAGTGGCCTGCAAACCAGGTCTCCCAATTATAGGACAAGTGCTAACAGTATTGTGCTCCTATGCAAAGGCAGGTGCTGGTGTAAGGATGCTCCATGTGATAGTGGCATATTTTCCCAGAACAGAAAATAAGCCCATCAACTTAAGATCAGTGTCTCTTAGGACCTTCCAGATCAATCCACAACATGCTTACAAAGCCTACATTCCTAAAAGTTAAGCGCTGATGAAAAGTAAGCAACACGGCATAGCTGTTCAGGATGGCAGGGGTTTCCAGCTCCTCAAAGCCCAGTTGGTACAGGCCAAACCCAACCCCATTCCTTGTGCCAGTATTGATTAAACGTTTCTTGAAAGTCTATTTATACTCAAAGCAGGAAAAAAAGGAAAGCAGACAACGGGAACAAAATGCAAAGAATCATTACTATAACAAATTATAACTGTTGAATTAAACTTCTCCTCCTCCCCAAGTCAAGCGAATTATGATATAGCATAGGTATTTTTCTTTGTTGTCCATTCGGGCACGTAGGAACAAACTAGTTGGGCACAGAATGAATTGTTTGATTCTTTAGGACATTCTTAAAATGATCCCTAGTGCTTGGTCATTTTAAAACACAGTTAAAAACCAAAACCAAACTGACTGCAATATTGAGGCCAATCCCCAGCTCTGCAAGGGTCTACCTGACCCTTGAGTCCTCAGCCACGGTTGGATCAGAAAATAAGTAATGTCCTGCTCAGATACACAAAACCAAGTCCCAGGACACTGGATGAAAGCTACTGCAACAAATTTTCAGAAGGTTCTAAGTGCCTTGTGGGGGGTTTCAGCAGAAAAGTGCTCAAGGAAGAAACCATCACTGCCTCCAGAAGGAATTATTTCTACTTAATGTATCTATGGCTGTAGAAGATCTGGAAAACACGGCAAGGACGTGCACCTCCAAGTGCCAAAAAAGACCGTAAAAAACTGGCCCAAACATTCAGAATTCTGAACAGCAGCCTGTTCGTGGTGTAGGAACGTGCACTTAAGACAAACAGATGTCTATTTGGAGCACAAAAAATTATATGTTTCAAGCACCCACTTGGAGCAGCACAAATTACATGTTTCAGTGACCTCCTCCTTCCAAGGTACAAATGAGAATAACAACTACAGGAGCGCAGTTAAAATTGGCTTTTTAAAATTTATACATAAATTAAAAATATTTTTATATTTTTACACATATCAAAATTTTATTACATTATGTATATTATTAATTTTATATGTATATATAAAAAATACAAAAATGTCCTAGCTAGCGTAAGCCAGAATCAAGGAATTCGTGCAAGAAACTGGATGTGAGAATTCCACATCCACAACTTTTGGGAAACAAACCACTAGAACAAGCCACCACACAAATAAATAACTATGGAGTCATTTAAGAGCTAAAACTCACAGGCTTTACTGAAGTACTAACCTCGTCAAACTCCTCACCAAAGCCGGCTCGGTTTGAAATAGCGTCTGAAATCTCCTGGGCAACATCTTGCTGTTCAGTGATATCTTGCATCAAATCATCGATTTTGTTCAAGTCCCTGGCAAGACAACATGGAAATATTTTTTAAAGATATATTGTTCAAATCCTATGGAAGAAAACTATTTTCTTTTTACACCCGTGGCTGTATAAACAGTAGAGCTCGCAGGGAATAATTTCCCTCACCTACACCTTCATGATTCTTGGCAAGCTTCTGTGCTTTTTTAGCCAGTCCAATTTCTTCCACTTTGGGATTATAACAAAAGTCAAACTGCAGCAGTCTGCATCTCTCTCCCTCTCTGGGCTTCCCATCCCTCTGCCAGACAACAGTCCCATTCCCTGGGCAGATCCCATCTCCTTCCCGAGGTCAGCACCTTTAGAGATGCATCTTTTTTTGATATTAAGCTTTTGTCAGATGTTGGGGGAACTTAAAAGAACTACACCCCATTTAAAAAGCTCCTCCTCATTGTTAATTTCATTATTGCTTCAGTTTCTGTTTACTTCTCTGGGAACAACTCTTCTGATTTAACTCTGTTTATTCAGGCAGGAAAATGCCTCTTGAAACAATATAGGCCGTACATAAGTACTGTACACACACAAAAAAATGACCCTCTCTTTTATTCAAGTCTAATTAGTGCTTTGAATCATACAGTCCAGGTTATGGAAATGAGAAAAAGAGACCACTTAGTTTCCTCAACTAAGTTTTCTTCTGGGAAAAACGGAGGGCAGTACCACACAGATCTCTCTCGTTAATTGGACTTCCTTCTAGACTCACTGGTAAGATAGTTTTCTGCCAAATATAACACTATGGGACCGACAGCATCCCTGACATTAAATGCCAGAACCAAAAATTAAGTCCAAACCGGTTGACAGGATGTTGACACGGTCCCCCACAACATCCTGATTGCCAAATTGGAGGGGTACGGATTTGATGGGTGGACTGTTCAGTGGAGAAGGAACTGGCTAGATGGTCGCATCCAGAGGGTGGTACTCAATGGCTCAAAGTCCAGATGGAGACCAGTCACAAGTGGTGTCCCTCAAGGGTCCGTGCTGGGGCCGGTGCTGTTTAACATTTTTATCAATGATATAGACAGGGAGATTAAAGGCACCATCAGCAAGTTTGCGGACGATACCAAGCTGTGTGGTGTTGTCCATACACCAGAGGGACAGGATGTCATCCAAAAGGACCTGGACAGGCTGGAGAGGTGGGCCCAGGTGAACCTCATGAGGTTCAACAAGAGCAAATGCAAGGTTCTGCACCTGGGCCGGAACAATCCTCGCCACCAATACAAACTAGGGGGTGAGGGATTGGAAAGCAGCCCTGAGGAAAGGGACTTGGGGGTGCTGGTGGAGGAGAAGCTGGACATGAGCAGGCAGTGGGCAGCTGCAGCCCAGAAGGCCAATCCCATCCTGGGCTGCATCAAAAGCTGCGTTGCCAGCAGGTCCAGAGAGGTGGTTCTGCCACTTTACTCTGCTCTGGTGAGACCTCACCTGGAGTATTGTGTGCAGGTCTGGAGCCCTCAATATAAGAAGGACATGGACCTGATGGAGAGGGTCCAGAGGAGGGCCACAAGGATGATCAGGGGGATGGAGCACCTCTGCTACGAGGACAGGCTGAGGGAGCTGGGGTTGTTCAGCCTGGAGAAGAGGAGGCTCCAGGGAGACCTAATAGCAGCCTTCCAGTACCTGAAGGGGGCTACAGGAAGGCTGGGGAGAGCCTGTTTAGAAAGGCCTGTAGTGACAGGACGAGGGGCAATGGCTTCAAGCTGGAGGGGAACAGATTTAGACTGGAGATGAGGAGAGGGTTCTTCACTGTGAGGGTGGTGGAGCACTGGAACAGGTTGCCCAGGGAGGTGGTTGAGGCCCCATCCCTGGAGATATTCAAGGAGAGGCTCGATGAGGCCCTGGGCAACCTGGTCTAGTTGGGGGTGTCCCTGCTGACTGTGGGGGGGTCGGACTAGATGACCTTTGGAGGTCCCTTCCGGCCTGGGCAATTCTATGATTCTATGATTCTATGATTCTATGACTGCAACAATTAAAATAGTTTGAAAGTGGTTAGTAAGCTCAACTGGAAAGCTATTAGCAAGCACTTACATATTTTCATGCACTTTTTTCATAGCTTGTGCAGCGTATCCCATATTCTTGAGCACTTCTGTGTTGGTGTGGGAGTTTTCCAACGCCTCTCGCTGGAACTCAATGGTCGAAAGCGTCCCATCAATTTGACTCAACTGTTTCTCGTACCTCTTTTTCCTCTTCAGCGCTTGCAAGGCAGCTGGAACAGGAAGAGGAGAAGGACACCATGGATTTTCATTGCAAAATGCAAGGATGAGTAGTTCAGCACCGAGAATTTATAATTCTCACCCTCCTACCTGACTAGTAGGGAGAAAAACTTTGCGCACGCCAGGTCAGCAGCCTGTTTATCACCAACATGCTGTTGCATGAACATGCTGGGAAGCCTCTTTTAGATTAAATTCCTTTTAGCACCACAGGGAAGAGCAGCTTCTTCCTCCACTGCAGATCATCATCTCCAACTTCCATCCTGTGCACGCAGGCAAAGCAGGGAAGATGAGGAGGAAAAAGAAAAATGTCAGAGGAAAGCCAGAAAGGAGGAAACCGGGGGGAAAAGAAAGAAAGGAGAGGTTGCAAAATATAAATAGAAACTAAGAAAGACAGAGTTAAGGAGATCTGTCATGATAACCATGCCTCCACCAATGCTGCACCTTCCAATGTTCTCTCAGCAGCAGAAACTTTCCAGGGAAAGCCCAAAGGGCCTGACCAAGCAGGGGGGCTGGATCAGAGGAGGACTCACATTTCCCTGGGTTTCAGCTGCATCTGTTTCTTACAATCACTTAGGAGCATGAACTTTAAACCTTAACACTTGAAAACACACAGAACTTTGCAGACACGGCCAGAGTCAAATCCAGCTACTCCCCATTACCATTGTAAATTGCCGAGATTAGTCTTTTATATTTGCTTAGTTCTAAGCACCATACTTTCCCCAGAGTAAATAATTACCAGAACAAATGCACGTGACGAGCAGGGGGAGAAAAGGGCTTTCTCTCAGCCTCTGGGTGTGGAACACACATAATCTTGCCACAAGCATTTCCTGACCGCTGTCTTTTCCAAACTCCACGTGCCAGACCAAAAAAAAAAAAACCAAAAACCAACAAAAAAAAACCCAAAACCCAAGCAAAACCAAAAGAGACTGAGTTAACATATTGCTTTTTCGATGCTATTAATAGCTGTGTCCTTTCCCTTGTCTCTTACATTTTATTTTGAAATCAGGTTCAGAGCCAGCAAGCAACTGTACCCCCCAAACTCAGAAAAACAACAGCAGTGATTACTGTTGCTGTCCTGTTTTGCAGGCGTGCAATAACACTGAACCCTGACATCGGGCTACACAACTTGTCCACTTAAGTTAGGATCCCTCCAAAGGGGGGGCACAAATTTATGGTGTTTAACCACACACTAAAAAATTCAGCACTTTCTTGACAGGACAAGGGGTAACAGGCACAAGCTGGACCAGGGGAAGTTCCACTCCAATGTGAGGAAGAACTTGTTTGGGGTGAGGGTGGCAGAGCCCTGGCAGAGGCTGCCCAGGGAGGGTGTGGAGTCCCCTTCTCTGGAGATCTTCAAGCCCCACCTGGATGCTCCTGAGTGATGTGCTCTGGGCAACCCTGCTTTGGCCGGGGGGTTGGACTGGATGGTCTCTAGAGGTCCCTTTGGATGATCTCTAGAGGTCCCTTCCAACTCCAACAATTCCCTGATTCCATAAAATGCCTGAATCAACATGGTCACAGTTGTTCATCACTGGCTGTGCAAAGACCAGCATTCACACAGGCTAAGACACACAGTGCCTTCTAGCACCTGCAGTAAAATGTTTCAGGACAGCACAGGAATCACAACAGATTATTCAAAATATTCAAATTCAAGACTTTCCCACGCATATCATGCATATTCTTTAACATCTCTGTTGGAGACATGGACAGTGGGATTGAGTGCACCCTCAAGTAGTTTGCCAAGACCACCAAGCTGTACGGTGTGGTCGCCATGCTGGAGGGAAGAGATGCCATCCAGAGGGACCTGGGCAGGCTGGAGAGGTGGGCCCATGCAAACCTCATGAAGTTCAACCAAACCAAGTGCAGGGTCCTGCACCTGGGTCACAGCAATTCCAGGCACAAATACAGGTTGAGCAGAGAATGGCTGGAGAGCAGCCCTGAGGAGAAGGACTTGGGGGGGGTGGTGGATGAGAAGCTCAACATGAGCTGGCAATGTGCACTGGCAGCCCAGAGAGCCAACTCCATCCCGGGCTGCATCAAGAGAAGCGTGGCCAGCAGGGCACAGGAGGCGATTTTGCCCCTCTGCTCTGGTGAGACCCCACCTGGAGCTCTGTGTCCAGCTCTGGAGTCCTCAGCACAGGAAGGACATGGACCTGTTGGAACAGGCAAAGCAGAGGGCCATGAAGATGATCAGAAGGATGGAGCACCTCTGCTGTAATGAGAGACTGAGAGAGTTGGGGTTGTTCAGCCTGAAGAAGAGAAGTCTGGGGAGACTTCATAGCAGCCTTCCAATATCTGAAGGGGCTCCAGGAGAGATGGGGAGGGACTCTTGGTCAGGGAGTGGAGCCATAGGATGAGGGGTAATGGTTTTAAATTGAAAGAGAGAAATTTAGATTAGAGACCAGAAAGAAATTCTTCCCTGTGAGGGTGGTGAGACACTGGAACAGGTTGCCCAGAGAAGCTGTGGCTGCCCCATCCCTGGAGGGGTTCAAGGCCAGGCTGGATGGGGCTTGGAGCAACCTGGTCTGGTGGGAGGTGTCCCTGCCCAGGGCAGGGGGGTTGGAACTAGATGGTCTTTAAGGTCCCTTCCAACTCTGACCATTCTGTGATTCTATGATTCTGAATAGGATGCGTGAACCTCAAAGGATGTCATGCAAGTGGCAAATGTAAGAACTGCAAAATTCTCATTGGCAATTCCAAAATACATCAGTTTGACTCAACACCAAAATTATCTTTTCACCTACTCGTTATTTCCCTACTTATTTATGCTTATTATTGGTAACACTAGGACACGAGCCACCCCCTTCCTCAGTTTCAGTTGAATCAAAATTTGATCGTGGATTCTTAGGTTAGGAAACCAGAGATTCCAGGTAAATTTAATGGCCTGAAATTAAGCATAAGACCAGCTGTGCCAGAGGAGACTCTAAAGCTCCGTGGAGGGAGGAGCAATAACTGGCTGATGCAGAAAGGCTCCAGCTGCAGTAAGTAGCTACCACAGGGAAATACTTCCAGGCGGTGTTTTTCACAAATGAGTCTCTGTAATGGTATTTTTATTATTGGCTGCTCAGAGAGAAAATGGATTTCCTCAGTTACACACAAAGGAGAGCTGTTTGTTTTTCTTCAAAATCCTGAAGGTTCCTGTATTAAGGTTTAATGAAACCACACCCAAATTAAGAAACCACGGAAGCAGCTAAACTTTGTGTGACTTCAACTATTCATAAAGAGCTTTTCCTAATTACTGTAGTGCAACATATCATCTTTATTAATTCTTTTCAATTTTACCAATGACTTATAGAACAAAGCACTTCATAGGAAACCAAGTTGTACTCCTTCCTCATCAACCAAGGCATAATTCCCATGCCGTGTCATATGCTTTTTCTCATTTATATTAAATGAATACCCTTCATTGTACAGTGTTTCGTATTAGAAGCTCCTATAGCTAAGATATGAGAATCTCCTTGTTCTTTGAGGTTTTTCTTTCTGCTTTACGGATTATCATGACCTTTAAGTGCTCTTCTGCGCGTACAAGCATTTTAAAATTTGTGTGCAACTCTTATAAGAAGAATAAAATGCTTCACAGAAATGCTATTGCATTGTAATAACCAAACTGAAGAAGAACGTATCTATCAAATAAATAAATAAATGGAGGAAAGAACATAAACTTACTTCACTGAAGGTCTAAGAGTATCGCTGAAAAAGAGTGTTGGCCATTCCAATCATTTCTAAGAAGGAAGACAGCCCAGGGAGAAGAGTCTAAGCAGGGGCAGGGTCTGAGGAAGCAAGTGTAATTAATACCAATTCAACCAGGAAGAGGTGGAGGACTTCTCCAGGAAAAAAAACAATCTATCTCATACACTGTCTCTGTTGTGCTCCAAAGAAGCTGATTCAACTCCTGCATTTCATAATTAACAGTTATTAAAAGTCAGCAGTTGGCTGGGCTTTAGCACATTTCCTGTGCTCTACTTCTGAGTCCAGCACACAGGATACACAGCATAGATTAGGAACCACTGCTTTTAATTTGAATTTTTATTTTATTTTCAAGATAAGTGGGTGGAACAACAATAGACCATTCTGTCATTTTAAGCAAGCATATTAAAGACCTGTAGTTAATAACATACAGAAGGACACTTTTCCAGTATCACTGCTATGTTGATACTTTATTAAGGAAGCAGAAACCACCAGGTGGGCAATGGCAATCCTGGTCACACTGACTATCCAGGTTTCTGAAGGGAAGAACAAAAGTAGTGACATAGGAAGAGCTGTGGCACACTCCTCACAGTTTCATGACAGATCAGAATGAAAAGAGACAGTACAGTGATAACAGCACCTTTACCTGTCAAGCCCACCACCAGCACCCATCAGGACAAGAACTACCAATGATCTCATCTTCTGAAGCAGAAATAAAATCATTGTCTAGTAATCCGTAAGGTTCCCAGGGGGAAACTGGTGAAGAAGGAAATCTTCAAAAGCTGTAACACCACTGTGAAAATACTGTATCTCATTCTTGGAATCAGTTCATAAATGTCCACTCCGATGAGTCCCGTAAGGGATTGATGGATCATAATCTCCCTTACGCCAGGGACAATCAAAAGAAATGTTGCTGAGGCCATAAAAAAAAAAAAAATCATACCACCTTAAGCTTGTTATCAGCATTTAATAATCCTTACAACCTTGTGGGGGAAGCCACATACAGTTACAACCGAGGCACTAATTCAAGAACAATAATGTCCTTGACTCATAACAATTCCAATTCACACAAGGCACCTGAACCATGACCACGAAGATCACAGAAGGAAGACGCGCTATGGGCTTACTCCTATCTCCCCACCAGGAACCCCCAGCCCCAACCTGTCGTACACCCTGCCACGACTGTGACGGCCCCGTAGGTGTTAACACACAGCTACTACCTCCTTGTTTGGTTTCAACAGCCTCCTGGTCATAGCTAACTCACTGGAAAGGAATGCTACAGGGCTACATGAGACCTGCCCAAATG